AGTGTTTGGCCGAGCTTCTCCTCCGATTTGTGGTGTGCGCCTTGATGTTGTCACACAAAGGGGAGGGACCTACAGTTTTACGCCGGCTCCGAACGGCGATTGTATTTTTATGAGAAGCTGTTTTTCATGGCAGAAATACACTCGGAGGTTTGCCATTGCCTGCCGAGGGACGACCGCTGTTAAGAAAAAACCTTTTTCTATATTTTTTGCGATGTTGCTTTGACCGGGACTTGAACCCAGGTGCTGATGAGTGAAAGCGCGCACTGCTTACCACTACACCACAGCGGCCTAGTTACCAAAACCCCTCGAAAATCACAACAAACCAACCAACCTACCAAAGCCTTATTTTAAGAAATGAAACTACCAATTTTGGTCCAATTGGACCGAAACGGCAACACTGTATTTAACATGCCTTGACCGTAAGGGAGAGGAACACGTAACAGCTAATTCAAAGTAATCCAAAAAAGAAGTTCCATTTCATTTGAATAAAGTTTCATTTAATTTGAAAAAAGTTCCATTTAATTTGAAAAAAGTTTCATTGAATCTGAAAAAGGTTTCATTTAATTTGAAAAAGGTTTCGCTTAACATGAAAAAATTTTCATTTAATTTGAAAAAGGTTTCACTTAATTTGAAAATGGTTTCATTTAAACTGAAAATGCTATATACATATACATAAATATGTATATTTATTGTAGGTTTTTATCACACGATTCACACATCGCAAGTCAAGAGAGTTGATATTACAAAAAACACATGGACATACCTAAATATACGAGTACACCCACACAAATGTGGATGGTGATTTTGCGAATTTATAAAAGAACTGACCTACATAAGTATGTACTTAAGTTGCTATGTAAATAGACCCGCTACAAAAATTTAAAAATACATACATACATTGAAACGAAACAAAATCTGCGACACCATAAACCAATCTCGAAGCGAAAGTTTTGCGTTAAGCCAATTAGGAAAATATCAGGTGTATGACACGGTAAAATTAGAAAGTTCAACGACACTAGCAACAACAGGAGTATTACGTTTATATATAATTTGCGATCCCGTATGGAAATCGATCCCGTATTCGGTTCTCTGACTATTGAGAGGACAAAAGAGAGAGAGTAAATGAGGTCCTCTCTACCAGTTACCAATTTTAGTCTGATAATTTTTTGCTGGTAAATTCTGAACCAACTAAGATAAATAGAATATTTCTTATGAGTTTTTTTTTTTTAACTTTTGGGGAATAATTAATTTTTTTTTATTTATTTTTTATTACAAGCTTTCATTAAGTTTCACTTGGGTATAAACAAATCTTGCAATAAATTTTTGAGTAACTTCCTGATAAGCTAGATACTCTAAGTGGATTCACAGTGACTCAAACAAATGACCACGTGTTGATTATTTTTTAAATATGCGTAATGCTTTTCTGCCCCTTTTTTTTGGTATTTTTCTATAAAAATACCATCCAAGCTTTAACCAAAAACATATAAATCATAGTTTCCAACTTTATACAAAATTAAGAAATGCCAACAAATTTTATAGCCCATACAATTTTAGTCTAATTAGCAGGCAGTGAAACTTGCAAGTTTGTGCAAGTTTGGCGTTCGCGTAAAATTTGCAAGCATCTCTCACTGAGAGAGAATACACCAAAATTCTCAGGAATTTCCTTGCTGGCTAATTCTTTCTGGACTTATAAAAGAACGCACCTATTAACAAAAAGTTTTGGATTTAGCGAGAGGGAGTGACAACACAAAAATACTTTCCCACCAAATTTATTAACTGAATAAGAATTACAATCCAGTTGAACTCATCAAAAATATATAACAAAATACTTTTTATTTTTTATTGTACCGGATAGACAGGAATACGCACTTGTAGCATCTGAAAAGGAAATAGAAATTTTACAACAATCTACTGCATACTGAATTTAATTTATCGTTATTCATCTCATATTACCTTATTGGTTTTATCGAATATAGCGCGCACACGCTCTTGATTCAAACGATAGTTAACAAATTTATCAAACATATAGCCATGCTTCATTAACTCCAATAAAATGCGATCCTCGCCAACATCCAAAGTGATTTCTTGGGAAGAAATCTGTGAGAAAGAAAGTGTTGAAAGAAAAAACGTATACATTTTATATACATAAGTAACTTCTCTAAAACGTACGCATTTCGGTAGATAAAATTCAGCCAATAATTCTTCCACTTCTTCTTTGCACAACTTAGCACGCAATTTATACTCGGGCACTGTAGATCCAGCCAATGCTATGGCCTGCTTAATTTTACTGGCATTCTCTTTCAATTCTTCCGTTTTACGTTTTAACGCATCAACCTCGCTTGTATCAATCTCTTGCACCAGTGGTGAACGCTTGCTGCCGATCTCCTCACTGGTCGCCACTCGCTCCATTTCAGCCAGTTTCAGTTCATCAGCCTCAGTAGGTTGTTGGTATGACTTGATGACTGTTTTTACATCATTATTACGTACGCGATGCTGTACAAGCGTACCAATAAATTTACGATTTTGCAAAATAATTGACTTTTCAATCTTTATTTGCACATTGTACTTTTCATTTAAGGCCTCAGCAATCAGTGCTAGGAAAAAATCCTTAAACAACATTGATTTCTGAACTTTAACGAAGAACTTTGGATTGATGGCAATATCGCAAACATCCACAGAGTTATTTGATTTATCCTTAGTGACGCGCGGATCGGATATACTCATGGGTATACGAAATGAGCTTGGCGCCTCCGATTGCAGAATCTCGGCCAATTGCTCTTCGGTAATGTCTTCCGGTGCCGGTATCTCATCTGTTTGGCAGACATTAATGAAAAATTTCTCATTGGTGTTGGTTTTGAAACTTTTGATGCAGACACCTATAAACGAGTGAAAGAAACTGCATTTACATACTATAGCATTTTCAGTTTAAATGAAACTTTTTTCAAATTAAATGAAACCTTTTTCAAGTTAAGCGAAACCTTTTTCAAATTAACTGAAACCTTTTTCAGATGAAGCGAAACCTTTTTCAAATTAAATGAAACCTTTATCGGATTCAATGAAACTTTATTCAAACCAAATGAAACTTTTTTCAAATGAAATGAAACTTTATTCAAATTAAGTATTAAACATTTTTAAATTAAGGAACAGGAAATCAACATAACCTATTAAGAGCCGTTTGCACCATGTCTGGCTAACACTAAAGGCTCTGTTATGAACACTTGGCATTGGTTGAGAGTTGTCACATAAGGAATCTGTTAAATGAGCTTCGCGTGTAAGCTGTTACCCAACGCACAGCATTACATACGTAGAACTCTGTTGGTTTTTGATTTCTACGTAAAAACACGTACGTAACAGAGCCTTAACTCCCAGTTACACATCGTTATCGACGTTATCGACGCCATATTTATATCAGGGAGTCGATAACGCCGATTATGATGTTTAACTGGGAGAATATTTTTACTTTTGCTACACGAATTCAAAGCTGTCAACTATTATTTTCTTAAGGGAGAAGAGGGAAATAAAGTACAAATACTCTCCCTTCTCCCTCACTCGCTTAAGCGAAATGTAAAATTTGGCATTTGCATAACAACTGTCTAATTATTTTCTTTTCACTTAAACAAACTCTATGGATTAGAGCACAGTCTAATCACGGCAACATTCAACTTCGGTTCAAGAATAATTTTGACATGTCCCATTTCTCTCTTCCTTTTCACATCATCCTTTACATGTACTCCCGAAAACAGAGATATTTGGAGTTTTATAAAATGAATAAATTATATCATTTGCCTAGTTACCAAATATAATAATAATAATAGATTGGCGCTTACACATATGTTAGTGTTTGGCCGAGCTTCTCCTCCGATTTGTGGTGTGCGCCTTGATGTTGTCACACAAAGGGGAGGGACCTACAGTTTTACGCCGGCTCCGAACGGCGATTGTATTTTTATGAGAAGCTGTTTTTCATGGCAGAAATACACTCGGAGGTTTGCCATTGCCTGCCGAGG